CACGCACGCATGCACACACGCACACACGCATGCATGCTTGCTTGTTTCTTGTACACGTGTAGATGTACATAGCTATCTTTATATGTCTACCCATGTGTATGTTCATATCATATTTTATTATATCATACTATATTATGTTATATTACATTTTGTTATGATGTTTTTCGTTTTACTATAGTATAAATTTAATATCTGATACTATGTCATTGAATTTGATATCGTACTGTGTTATTTCATACTGAACAGATATATTATATTATATTATATCCTGTTGTCATAAAACAGTATATTATATTTTGCTATGTCAAACCATACTATACTATACCATACTAGACTATACTATACTCTACTATACTATACTATACTATAGTTTCTATGTTATGTTATGTTACATTGTATATTGTTGTAAATTATTTTGCTATTTTAGATAGCATACAATGTATATATGTTGTATGCCCACACGGCTGTATATACACAAACATGGTTTCGCATATCATAAATGCATGTATACATGTATAACATGATTGATTTTGTGTGTGTGTTATTGTTTTTGCTTGTCTATAGCTATCTCATTTATGTAATTATTTTGTCATGTGCTTATTCAATCTTGTACTTAACTTGTCATTCCGTCATTTATGTGGAACTAGTCTTCGATTCATGTATGTATTCGTGTACTCAAGTATGTATTTGTCTTTTTCGTTTAGTTCTAAAGTTATTCAGCCAATTATACTGCAGCTGTACTCCTACATACCGCTTGAGCTCTTCAATGAAGCTTCGGTTTTTTAGCTCCTCTGTGATGCTTTTCATTGCAACTTTTTTGACATAACCGATGCTGCATGTTCAGGTTCATACTGGCTCGGATCTTCCGCAGCCGCCTCGAAGACCTGACGGTTGAAATATGCGGAGACCTTCCCAGACTTCGAGAGAATGGCGAGCAGCTCGGAGCGGGGTACCTCCTGGTGCATCGCGTACACAATCGATAAGGCCTGCTCACGAGTCGACGTCCGAGTCCCAAGACGGGGAAGCACAGCACAACACGCTGGCCTTGACGTCCTCGCCGTGTCGCACCATGTCGGTGCTCAGGATGACTTCCACCTGCGTGCCAGTTGGGCGGGTGCAACCAAACCGGAGAATCTGGAGCAGTCCAATCTGAGGACTCTGCAATGCCTGACCTGGCAAGCTTGTAATCGGCCTTGTCCAAGACCTCTACTAGAGCTGGCGAGCAACAAGCTTGTACGCTTCAAGACTCCAGGGCAACCTCCAGCATGTTCGTCCTGGCTTCACTAAGAACCTTGGAGATGCGAAAAAAACACAAAGCGCGACCGAAGGCCTGCCTCGCCTCGAACAAAAGCTTGCAGTGCATGTTCTCAAGGACAGACTTGTCGTTGTACCTGCAGACAGTTGAACCAGCTCATGCTGTTTCGACCGTTAGCAAGACAGCCTCAATGCCAGTGCATGAGACGTCTCGACCTGAGCCACATGCAGCCTTCCGCAAATAAATGCCATCCACCATGCCGTTGTGAATATGCAACTCTCAGCAGTGAAGTGCTGAGAGTTCAACGAGAAACACGTTGTTGACACCCAGGTGACCAACGTCGTGCCCCAGCGCTGCTATCAAGAACCAGAATACAGTCACCTACCGGGAGGTTCTTCGCAAAAGCCTTCACAAGCACTTTGGTGCTGTGTGCTTTGGTGTGCTGCATGCGGCGCCTCCGACAGGAGCGTGTAGGACTTGATGCTGTGTAGATACAGCCGTGCTTCGGAAAGCACGTCCAGCCTCCGTATGTAGCATCAACGTCAGAAAGAAGCCGCTAAAAAAGATATCAGTGAAACTGCGGAGCATCCTCCCGGGGCGGCGGCCCATGCGAGAAGTTGTGGAATGGGTTCTTCAGGTATCTGCCTCGTTTTTGGTCATCGTTCCCTCAAGAAAAGAGCTCGCTTCTCAGCTCCAAGCTCTGTATGGCGGCAATGAAGTTCATCAGCTTCTCCGACAAGGCCTGCTTCCTGCAACGAATACGCAAATGCGGCGGCAGCAGATCCCCACTTCAGCCCACCGAAACCATGTCCTCACCCATCGTCGGCAACTGCGCGTGTTGGCCATCAGATGAAAAGCTAATTTGAGCTGCTGCTCTTGGGATACCTGGTCCACCAGTGCTGATTTCGCCGACCAACATGTCACTTCAACCCTAGAACCTCGCGAGCCTCGAACACATTCAACACTCTGTTGTCCAACATTTGCATCATGTCCTCGTCGATTCCAGCCCTTAGGCCAAACAGAGCCCATACCTCGTTAGCAAGGCAGGGCCAGCGTCAGAAACTGAGTCAGCCGCGAGGTATCTTCGATCTGATCCGCAGTCTCCAAGCGCCTGTGAATAATGTTTGACTCCTACAGCTACACGCAACCCCCACAAATTCTGCAGGGCTCCGACATGATGGGTGCTGCGACATGTTCACCTCCACGGCCTTGGCACGAAGGTCAGAAGTTCTGCCAGCGTCGGTCTTTCGGAAGAAACTGGCATCTTTCGCATTCTCAGGCGACAGCTTTCTGCTCCGTAATCAACCAGGAACACGAACTCTTCCTGCAGCTATCAGTTTTCTTGTTCTTCACATTTTGAATGTGCTCAACTTTTTACTCTTCACAGAAGCAGTCACGGGTTTTGCTGGCGGCCTGGTTGGATGCCCGCCTCCGGGTCGGAATAACCACCTCGCAGATGTTGACGATCTTTTTCAGGACCTTTGTCGACATGACTCCTCCAAACAAACTCGATTTAACTCAACGAAGGCCTTCTCCAGCAGGTCCAGCTCACCTTCCTGCGCCAGCATCATGAAGAGTGGTGAAATCAGTTAGGCTCCACCCGCAAACTCAAATCCTCAGCATCTGCTTCGGTCGTTGTCGGGAAACGTGTCGGCATCTCCTCATTCAGTGAAAAAAGAGCCATCGCAATCCCTCCTTCCCGTGTGGCTACTTTCCTTGCTGTCGGTATCAGTCTTGTCTCGGATCTGGAAGGACATCTTCATGATTTCGGCCTCAATTTCGCACAGCATAACGATCGAGAAGACGTTGTGCATAGATACAGCAAAGCAATGAAGACCTCTGACTTGGAAGGCCACGCAGTGCTCTCGAAGGACGCTGACCACACGCTGCAGCCTGGAAGCCGATAACAGCCGGGTTCGGACAAACGCTCACTGGCCGCAGGGTCTTTCGAGGTCTCGGCGGTTTGAGGACTACGGAGTTGACACTGGAGCTCATCATGAGACCTGACGGGAACATGCCCCTGGCAGAGGTAGATCGGTAGTCGGCAGATCTTCCAAGCGCCCAGCAGCCGAGGAACATCACCAGAAGAACGACAAGCATACAGCACAGGTTGGAGAGCGCCTCGTACCTGCAGGCAGCTCTCTTTGTTAGACAGGGATTGTGGGTTTCTAGGGATTGTGGCGAGTTTGAGCTCTCCGGATGCTCCGGCCCTCCGGCCTTCTCACTTCACCGAGGGAGAAGAGAAGCAGGACGTACGCGGCCTCTACCTGGCAGAGCCGGCTGATGATGGCACTGATGGCACTAGGTGTGCAGGAAGCTAGGGCCGCCTCAAACACGGAGGACTGACGCCTGCTCGGAATCAAGCTGAAAAAGTCTATGGACTCTGTACTCTGTGAGCAACAAGCGGCGCTGGCTCAACGAAGGTGCTCTGGAAGACCAGGCCAGTCATCGAGCCTGCGATCTGCACTCTGCACTTGAACCGAGTCCAATCATTCCGACACCGACCTGAACAGTCGAATTCAGCGGAAGTGGTGGCTTTGACACACATCCCGAAAGGACCTAGGTTCCCGCCATTCCGGCTCCACTCTGTGGAATTAATTGAGGTCGCCACCGTACGGCAGATTCACGTAGAAGCTGGTAAACTGCTCCAACTGTGCGTTGATCCTGGAGACAAGTCATGAGTGCCGAAAGGTGAGACAATTGGCATGCTGCCGGCGTTTGACGATCCTGCTCATCGCATCAGTGCTTGGGCTCGCAAGATACGATCCAACCTACCGGAACAGATGCAAGACCGACCCCCTTCTTGAATCCCGTGCTCTGCGGCCGTGGCATCACCGGATAAGAGAATTGCCCAGGCACTCATTGAATCCTCTGCCTGGAATCGTGCCAAAGTAACAAGTAACTGGAAGCCGGATGCATCACCCGTCGGACAGACGAAGCTCCACCGACAAACTCAGTGGCCTCTGGATACATGAACGTGCTGGCAAGCGGAATAAGAATGACCTCAAACAGAGGCAGAACAGCAAACTTTGGTGGAACGCAGTGCTGCAAAAGTGCATGTGCAATCTGGCTCCCAGGGAGGCCGCTGTTCCATGGCCGTTCAGGCGGGAGATGCTTAAACTGAGGGGTGAATTCGGGTCCCGGGCGATGCAAACCGACAGAAAGGCCACCTTCGCCGGAGCTACAAGAATGACTTAAGCGGATGGATGCAAGCATGCGCACGGCCGACCCTGGTGGCGAGCATCACCGTCAGCTTGTTGGAGACCGCGTTGGCAACCTGAATGGAGGTTTGGGAAGACAGCGAGTCTCTGGAGCCCAGCAGGCTCCACTGACCTTTTCTTTGCGTTGGTCTCGCCTGTTGAGCACTTTGATCTTTGTTCTGCAAGAAAGGCAGGAAGCGGAGCAGCTTCAACAGCCGCGACCTGAAGTTGGTGAGTCAAGTGCTAGACCAGCCAAGTCTGACTCGCACTGCAGTTTTGTGGCCACTCCACCATCACAGATGACACGGGGACTGTACAGGCTACTGATACTGCATCCACAATCCCTCTCGAGGGGTTGCTCGGCTCCCTGACTGCTGTCACCCTCAAAACCGTCACCGTCACCTTTGGGAGGTCGCAGCCACCTCCACCTGAAGCCTGAAACTCCAGGTGCGGAGCATTCGACCGGCACGTGCCGCTTGCTTCGCTGCCCGCGAGGCACGAGCAAAGACGGCCTCGGCGCCAATGCAGGTTATGGCCCGGGGGCCCGCTTGCGCTGCACCCATGATCCGGAAGCTGGTGCGCAAACGTTATCGCTTCCAACAGAATGCTCTCCGGACCTGTCCATCAAGGCGAACACCTCTGGGCTTCTCTCTGTCCAGTCGCCAGGCGCCTCTCTCTCTGCGTGACATCCCTGCCCAGAAAGACCGAGATGTCAAAGACGATCGAGGCAGTGCCTGCGGAGAGCTCTGCCCACAAGCGCGAGCCGCGAGTCGGAATGAGTCGGACCTATGATGTCCATCCAGAAGAAGAAGCTGCCGAGGTACGACCTCTGACAGTGTTCTATTCGTGTCTCTTGAGAGCCGCCCGTTAGCTCCCCACTCGATTGTGAGCGTATTCGCTAACAATTCGGCCAGGAAGAAAAAGAAGCAGACCTCAGGCAGAATGCAGCAAACTGCAGACTGAGCATTTCTGGCTGGGCAAGAAAATCAACACTTGGAGCCAGGCCATCAGCACGATGTCCAGTGACGTATTCTCAGGAGCCTGCTTCAGTGCTACAAACGAAATGCACACGTGGAGAAAGTGACTCTTGCACGCTTGTGACACGAGTCTGTAGCCCGATGGATGAAAGTGACGACGTAAACATGTATCCAAAACAAAGAGACGGTCACTCACGACCTGCAAGCTTGCAAGCTCGGACATTGCATACAGCTTTCAATCCCATGAGATTTCCTGAGCCACGCCGTAGATGTCGGTAAGGAACAGCGCGCAAAGCACCACCAGCCTGGCAAAAGCAGAGGTTTCAAGCCCCAGCGCCTCAGAATGCCCAGCCCCGGTACACACCACGGGCGGCTGACATGGAAGCCACGTCCCACGCTCGTGATGTGATAACTCTGCGGATGCAGTTGATGAACCTCGAATCGTACCTGCAGAGCGCGGCACGCAGGCGGCAAAGACGGCCTGCGGGAAGGGCTGGCCGCACCGATCTCCGAGCTTCCGCGCCACGAAGCCACGCACTGGCGGAGGCGGCCTCCGGGTGGGCTTGGGTGCGGCTGTGCCGCGTCGAGGCTCTCCGAGGCTGCGGCGCGACGGAGATCGAGTTCCTCTTTCTTGGCACGGCCTGTCGGACAAGACTCCGAATCCGAGCGCTTCCCCAAGCAGGCTTCGCGTGGCTTCGCATGGCTTCGCACGCCTGCACGATGGATGCTCGCGGCTTCGGTACCCACTCGACAGAAACCTGGTCTTCCTCACGGCGGCAGTGCCCAAAACATCCAAGAGACTCGTCTTTCCGAGGTTCCTCTGGAGCTGGTGCCGGAACCTCGACATGCCCCCAAAAGGGCCCGCACAGCTGCGAGAGGAGTACAGCCGAGCCCCGCCCGAGCCTCGTCTTCCGGCTCCTGCTCAAAAATTGGGCGGACCTGTTGCACCTCAGGAAGAGCCGGGCACCTCCTGGCCACACTGCACCTGCTACCCGCCTCCACAAGGGCTCTTCGTGGCTGTGACGCATCACCGGATGCCTACAGCCGCTTGCGTGAAGATCTCAGCACTCCGAACTCGCGCAAGCTCGGGCCTGGCTTGGGCTTTCCCCCAGCGCCGTCTGTTCAAGGGGCCTCCCACAAGAAGACAAGTCTTCTCTCGCGACGCGCAAAGCTGCAACGGCCTGGCATCTTCCAAGGCCAGACCTAGAGCAAAATCGAGTCGTCTTTTTCTGGGATGCCAAGGCGGCGACGGGGGCCTTGGTCTGACTTGAAGTCTTCGGCCAGCGGCTCTTCCGGAACACGATCCAGCCTGTGCTTAGGCTTCTCTCGACTCTGCCCAAAGGAAGTCCCTAAACCCCCCTCTAGGAATGGCCCGGTATGGATCGGGGGTCGGCCTGGCAGTCTGCTGACCTGGCGCGGACTGAGCAGTAGCAGCTGTGCACACGCAAGAGGCGCGGAGATGGCCTTCGCAGCAGGTGAAGCAAGCCCTCGGCGCAAAGCTTCTTTTGTCGACCAAGCAAGCTTTGTAGACATCCGAGGCATGGGCGGGCCCTTGGTTTGGCCCGAAGACATGTGCGCGACATGGATGTCTCCTGCAAGTGAGCTCGATCTCAGCCAGACACACATAATGACAACGAACCAGCATGAGTCCCACTTAGAAGCGGTCCAGCATCTGTCATCAACTGCCAGGCGTGGTGCCAATTCTAATCTGTCTGCATAACGCCTTGCAGATGGTGACATTCGTCAACCCTGCAAAACAACTGGAATTCCTGCCCGCCTCCGTCACCCTCAGTACGGAGCATGAGCGGAAGGACACAGCAAGGTCATGGTCTCTGTTGTTTAGAGCAACTGATCTTTACGCCTTACGCGATTCGGCCCAAGTTGTGCTGGGTCACTGTTAACTCCTTGCTATCCAGGGGGGTTTACCTTCAAAAGATAGGGCCAGCCACGTGCACTCAGTTACATCATGTTCCTGATGGTTGTGCCCGCACTGCACTGATTAGATAAAACTATGAGCAGAAGCACGATCGCATGTAGTCTGGAAGCGGACGTTGCGCCACTCACGGAGCCAGAAAGTCGCAGGTCCACAGTGCGGCATGCCAGGCACAAGCGTCGTTGATCCTGCGATTCCAACTTCCCGCAACCCAGAGACAGCATGTGTGCGCGAGCGTGCGTACACCCGAATTCGAAGATTATGGGATTTAAGCTCAGAGACAGGGCTCATGCCAACGAAAACATCTGCCTGCATAGTATACGATATGATCCGAGGACCGAAGCAGAATTGCCGGCAGTTTCGAAATCAAGCGAAGCTCAGAAACTATTCTATAAGGATCAAGTGGCACAGGTTCGTGCACATCACCACTACTAGTAGCCAGTTCTCTGATCGACCGTACTTTACACAGTTTCCATCTGTCTGTGTGTGTGTGTGTGTCAAAGTCAAGCAGCCAGTCATGTCCCGGCTTCGGCCCGTGGTCCAAATCTCCTAAATTCGACATACACTGGACATCGAGCTTGTCCCCAAGCATCCACAGCAAAAAACACAGAAATAACTGTGGCCGCGGCCTCACTTCCTTGCTCAGCGCACGCTTCGCCTCGACATCCCGAATGTGCCGTATGTGCAAGGAAGGAATGCCCAGAAACTGACACCCAACAGCACTTTCCTGCTGAGAAAGCCTCGGGCATTGTCGATTGCGAGGAAGATCAGCATATACACGAACCTCATCCTAAAGCACCAAATAATGTCCGTTTTTGCATCAGAATTCCCGAGTTCGCTTCCGCGGTAGACATAAGGGCTGTTTCGGTCACGCTTAGCTGTAGAGCAAGCATGCGTGGGTCAGGCACACATAAAAGCTTCTACGAAAGCACCACAACATGAAAGGTGGACTAGGCTGCTCATCGTGTTGAGAACGGCTCTCCATGCTTGAACCCGGTATGCGTCAAGGTATCTCTATCGCCCAGCTCAGACACCCGAATCGGCTTCTGAGTGATTGTACGTCCCATTGCCATCTCCAGCATATGCGTGTCATATGCCTATCAAATTCCATCTGTACAAGCGTCTGGAGAAGCGCTTGGGTTGCCAGCCGAGATTAGAGGACATTACGAGCTGGTATTGTTTCTCTGGTTAGTTGCGGGGGGGCGCAAGGCCACCAGGCTGGAACTCTCACCCAGAAGTGAAACCAAAGCGACACCGCCTACTGTGCAGGCTTCGCGGGGCGCCGTGCATGCTCAACCCGTGGAGAGTTCATGCTGCGTCACTGAAAGTAACAGGACCCTTTTGATCCCGATAGGTCTCGCCGACCTGCAATGCAACGTTCACCGTGACTGTCTCAGCGCAGCCGTAGATGCACAGACCGTAACGCCGTGACTATAACACATTACACCTCGTGCAAGCATGACCGGTGTGAGTACGGGTCCTGCGGACCTCTTCCAGCTCCGGCCCAAACTCCGGCCCACTCTCGACCATTTCACGGCTGGCGCCTGTCCTTCGAAAGCTACAATAAAGACGCCTAGAAACACCTCTCTTCATGTCGGTCCCTCGGTTGTCGGTCCTCCAGCTCTCCTTGAGGATCTGCAGCAAAGCCTGAAGCCCAAGAGCGACGACCGTGATGCCACTTGTAATTCCAGGGAACGGGCAGTGAGCTCCCACGCCAAGTGTTCCGGCGATGCCTCTGAGATGCAAAAAGGGCGGCATACAAAGCGACGCACAGCTGCTCCGCTCCGCAGGCGCGGCATGCGCCGGCGCCTCTTGTCTCGCGAGCTGCATGTCAAACTGGTGCGTCAGGAGGAGGACCAGCAAACACCTGGAGAAACCCAACCCAAAGAGAAGGCGCGTTTGCCGGCGCTCGCCGCAAGCACGGGCTCCCAGCCGCAAGTTGTGAATCATCGGCCAAGTGTCCTGCATGCTGTCCGCACGCCTGGGCGGAGCTTCCCTGTGCCGGTGCCGCCCTTGACTGCCCAGGCAAAGAAGCTGTTGCTTCTTCGGTGCCTGTAGCCGAAAATCCTCGACTTCACACTCTGGTACCTGTGCCACAGACTTGAAACGAGGCTGCAAGTCCATGCCGGCTTGTTCATAGCAAACCCTGCAATGTCTGCAGCAAGGGTCACACAACTCGATCTCGTGGCTCTTCACTGTGCAGGAGCCACGACAAGTAGACCTGCGGCGGGCGGACTTGTCGCGGATTGCCCCGCCAAAACTTGCGGTCTGCACCCCCAGGCTGCGCTCCAGCGAGCCAAATGCTGCCGAACCTGCCAAGCTTCTTCGAGACTTTCAAAACCCAACACAGCAGCAGGCCGTGAGTGAGACTGGGCTGCCGGGCAGACTTGCAGGCAACGATTCACTGGCGCCTGAAACCACGGGAGACTATCCCTGAGCTGCGACTTCCGTGCAGATCCAGCGCTTGAGATGGCCTCCGGTTGGTTCCGGCCTCTCCCTGTGTCACTTGGAACCCTCGGCAGGAACATCGCTTAGCCGGCTTAGCCTCTCGAACCATTCATGTAGGGCAATCTCAGGCAAACACGTGGCGCTGGCATCCTGCAGCGGGGCCTTCGTCGAGAAACGTCTACCAGATTGGCGCCGCTCACAAAACGTCCCGGAGCTCTTCGCACTCAGCTGGCGTACTGCATCAGAACCAAGGCCATTCAAAACTCGGAAAACGAAGGCACCCAGCCTCGATGCACATGAGTTTAAGGCATCACTCCGAATTCTCTGTCCAGGTGTTCAGGGGTTCGAAACTGAGTAGCGCAGAGTCGGAATAAATTTACAGCCATGTCTCTAGGGAAACTTGCTTATCTGACTGATCACGAAGGCCCCGACGACGTCTGATCCCCAAGTGGCAGATCACCGGAACGTCCTGGGCTTCTTGACGCACATGCAGAAAATGAATTCATGGCTCTGAGTCAGGTGCTTGTTTTGGCCAGGGCCGGAGTCATCTCTGCATACTTCACCTTATGAAGTGCGAAGGTTCCCCCTTCTTGGCTCGGGGCGGCGGGTGCGAGCCTCGTGGGGATCAAGCCAACCGCGGCCATGCACGTCTGCTCTGGTGAAGGCCAGCACTGCCGCTTGCCTCAGGTCGGTACCAGGAATCTCTAAGCTGGCAAATGTCCATCACGAAGGGGTCAGGGCCACAAGAACTCTGGAGCGCTCTGGCTCAACAGCAGGCTGCACCTTGGAACTAGGCTAGATTTGGAGCCTTTGCTGTCTGCGTGGTGTCTCCGAACACCTTTTCCTGAGTCCCATGCACTCTCCAGCCTTCCAGCAAAGCTTTGCACCTCTGCTTGAACCCAAACCACTTCGCCACTGAAGCGTCTCAGACTGGGCTGTACAACCGAGCTTGCAAGGCTGAGTTGTTCCCAAGCACAGAGAGTGCGAGAGAGAGAGAGAGAGAGCGA